ACAGAGAGAGAGAGAGAGAGAGAGAGATGGTGCCAGTCAATAACTACTAACAGTCGGTATTTAATGGAAGTCATATTGGTAAGGGTTTCAATTCTTTTAGTTGAGACTATTTCTGGGTCCTATTTCAATATTGTTATTTTTTTTAGTATCATAACCCTTTTTCATAGTTGTTAATTTTTTTATTTTGACATAATTTTTGGATCATTTGAGATATTAAATTAATAAATGAGTCAAAATGGTTAGAATTAAGATATATAGAATTGACCACCACAATAACACAAATGTATTTAGATTTGAAGTTGTATGTCAAACTCAATACATGTGACTAAAATTTTCAATTATCAACAATGTGAAACTATTTTTGATCATTTTGCAATCTTCATCTCATATTATATTTGCCCGAACTAAACTTGTATCAGAATTCCTTTGGTATTATCTTGTGCACTTCCACTTGTATCGGAACAGCAGTTGAAAGTTTTCCCTCATCACCTCCCATGGAATCTATTCGTCCATATCCCGCTGACACTGCCTTTGGATTATGATCATCTCTATGATCACTACTGCTGCATCTTTTCATTCTTTGGTTTCTCTGGCCTCCATGGCGCCTATGGCTGACATAGATGCTGTCGTTTCAAACCCGGAAGCATGAGGTGGACCTGCGGTTGGTGAATGCCTTCAACCCCTCCATTGGTTGTAATACATAATTGATATGTACATTGCTAAATCAATTACTTGCTCAATCAATTGATACTTACTGCAATTTCATCACATGGCTGTTGCAAAGTAAAATAAGTAACTTCTTTTGAGGCTAATTATATATTATCTCTTGTATTTAGATCCCTTTAGTATTTTGGTCTTTAAGACTTAAAAATTTATATTAAAATTCTTATAGTTACAAAAGTAAAACATTTAATTTCACTTATCTTAACATCATTTTCTAGCATGAAAACGATAGATAAAAAAATAATTTTAATATCTTAGTTATATTTTCGGTGGCGGTTGATGATAACATTGCTAAGGCTGTGGGTGGTTGTTGTGGTTATGGTTAGCGAGAATGAAGTATTGTTCGGTGAAAACGTTAGGGACTTATACGACTTCTTGTTGGGTGAGGAGGAGGATGAGGGAGAGCTTCGACAAGAGATGAGGCAAAGGGAGAGAAGGATGAGACGACGCGTATGCCAATGCTTTTACATTTGTGTTGATGTCGCTTGGGATCGGGAATGCGGGGATACCGAGCATCACTCATCCTTCTCCTTCTTTTGCATCGCTCATCCTTCTTCTCCCCTTGCACATACCTAGCAGCGAAAGGGGAGAAAAAGGATGAGGGATCGAGGAAGTGGGGAAGAAGGATGAGCATCACCCTTCCCCATATCGTTGTTAGCATCGATGCAAATACAAAGTGGTGCTAATGCAGAGGAATGCCACCTTTCTGTACATCATTATTGATGCCAATGTAAATATAGAGTGACGTTGCTATACATTTGCATGTGTCAACACCAATATAGATAATAAGCAATACTCTGCATCTGTATCTGCATCAGTGCCGATGCAGATGTCGAGTGACGCTCTACATTTGTATCTATGTTAGCACTTATGTAGATGCTGAGAGGTCCTTTTGTCACTTTGCATCTGCGTCGATGCTGATATAGTTATCGAGCGATGTCGACATAGTTACAAAGCGTCGATATTTGCATCGTTCTCTTTCTCCCTTTTCGCCTCACATCTCATCATCACTTTTTCTTATCCATAATAATCATTTATAGCCCCCCAGCAATGTCATCGTTTATCATCATCGAAAACGTAACTGGAACATTGAAATTATCTTTTTTGTCTATCGTTTTCATGTCTTTTTTGTATATGCTATATCTTCAGTCAGTAAAACTGATGACGTTAGGATAAATGGAGTTAAATTGTTCACTTTCATAAATATAAAAATTTTAGTATAATTTTTTTAAATCTAAAAATCGAAATATTAAAGAGGTGGAAGATAATTTTTTAAATCTCTGGCCGATATGCTAATCTTAATCAGCTTGAATGATATTCTCAGGTGCACGAGTTGAACAATTTGTCAAAGGCAAATACCTTCTTTTTTTCGGGTTGGGAAAGTCAACACAAAATCGATCCTTTTGCAGACCGACCAAAGCACTATAGATCACAAGTTACATCATGCAGCACCAAGAGTTTTGAGAAGGTGAGATTGCTTCCCCCTTTCTGCTGCTCATCTTAGTCAGACTCCATAACACTGCTCCGTTGATTCACTATCTTAATCGCTGCATCAACACCCTGCAACTCCGCGACGCATCATCGACGGCCAGGTGCCGACAACAAGGCACTCGAGCTTCCTAATTGTGTAGTGGTGGTGTGGCGGCTACCCAAGTTTGAATCCTTCCAACATTTGGAAAATGTCGATAAGCTTGAAGAAGACAAGTGCTGCACATTTCTTCCGTCTGCTACTCCCACCAAGGAGATATCTGATAAAGAATGCCATCGTTTGTCTCCTCATGAGTTCAGAGCTTCTGCTCAGGCCTTCATGGCACACACATCTTGTGGCCAATCCAACTTGTCATTGTCATGGTAAGCGTGTCCATCTTTTCCGAAAGAAGAGTGACAGCGAGAGGAGGGGGAATTCTGACCATGGAAACCAGTTGCACTAGCGCCACTTCTGTTGACTTAGGCCTAATCTTCATGTTCTCCTTCCCAAAAGCTTTCCGACATCGGTTGTGCTCCATTCTATAATTCCTCATTCACTACTGCTCTTCTCGAGTGCCTTAAGCTTGAATATTGCTTCCGGACCATGTTGAGAGCAAACAAGTGGAGGTCGGTGATGATGAGGTGCGCATGCACTCTTGCATGCAATTGCGCACCAATGTTGGCACACTATTAGTTGCTTGATTAGATGTGGCACTGAATGCTGCTGCATCGATTGATGATGGAGGATACTATAATCTTGATTCAGTCATTTAGTGTGCACATGCTTATAAATACCCAGCTCGTTCATTCACAAAACCTGCAGTAGATCCTTAAGAGTTAACAGATCCAAAGCATAGAAGATGGTTGCTTCCTACGTGGTGGTGTTGTTCCTGCTAATTGAGCTGCTCATCAGTGGCGCAGAGGCTTTAAGTATGGATTACTACATGATGAGCTGCCCTTTCATGGATCAAATAGTGAGGAACACAGTGAATCAAGCTCTGAGACAGGATCCCACTCTGGCTGCGGGGCTTCTGAGACTGCACTTCCATGACTGTTTCGTCCAGGTAAATCATCATGTAGATTCATCTTACTGGTTCTCTCCATTTTGCCCCAAGAACACGTATATTAGCTGTGAATTGCTTTTGGCTGCATGCAGGGATGTGATGCGTCCGTTCTCATCGATTCCACGGAGGATAACACTGCAGAGAAGGACTCTCCTGCAAACCTAAGTTTACGTGGCTATGAGGTCATAGACACGGCAAAGAAATCCATCGAGGATCAATGTCCAGGAGTCGTCTCATGTGCCGATATCGTCGCAGTGGCAGCTAGAGATGCCGTTTTCTGGGTATGTAAGCAAATTTTTTGGCCACCTCTTCATCTTCTCCATCTGTTACTGGCAGCACTGTTCTTGGTTCTCAGGCTGGTGGCCCCTTCTATGAGATCTCGAAAGGAAGAAAGGATGGGAGAAGGTCCAAAATAGAAGACACGGTCAACCTTCCTGCCCCCACCCTCAACAGCACAGCCCTCATCAAGGTGTTTGATCAGCATGGGTTTGATGCACGGGAGCTGGTGGCTTTGTCTGGTATTCACAGACGTCTTCAACTGAGATAATGTCATATATCTGATCGATGAAATGCCACCCATCCTTGTCGTTTCCAGGTGCGCACACTCTGGGCGTTGCGAGGTGTGCGTCGTTCAAGAACCGGCTGAGCAACTTCGACTCCGCCAACGACGTCGACCCGACGCTGGACTCGAGCTTCTCGAGGACGCTGTCGAGAGCGTGCAGCGCCGGCGACGACACGCAGGTGCCGTTCGACAGGACCAGGAACTCCTTCGACACCGGCTACTTCAACGCGCTGCAGAGAGGCATGGGGCTGCTCTCCTCCGACCAAACCCTGTTCACCGACCCTCGCACGCGGCCCGTCGTCAGCGGCTACGCCGCCAACGTGGCCATGTTCTTCCTCGACTTCCAGCAGGCCGTCATCAAGATGGGCTTGCTTGATGTCAAAGAAGGCAGCCAAGGAGAGGTTCGGCTCCACTGCCGCAGGGTCAACTGATGCGACTGCCTGAGTTCATGTAACCTTGAGCTGTAGCTGTGTTTGAATACTATAGTATGAGCGGAAGTTATCTGCATCAAGCTATACTACAGATAGAGACTTACGTATCATACATGCTGTTCTGTTGCACTAATTGCATGCATTTGTGGATGCTGAAAATTCAAGGAAGATGGATATGGAATATGGAAGTGGGATCTTTAGAATCAGCATTCCAGCTATGGAGTGGGAGGCATAGAGCATCTCCTGCACTGCTGAAAAGAAGGTTCAACCAGCTCAGTGCACTGATAGTTCAAACCATATACACAAAAAGGAGAAGAGAACTTGTTCACACGTATGATATGAACATTGATTAACAGTGCTTCACTACATATGGAAACAGTATTGCCATGTGCTTCGATGTCTAATATAACTCTTGCTGAAGAATATATGCTCAGTGGTGTGGAAGCCACTGTGCTGATCGAATGCTCTGCAGTGTTTGCGTTAGCATTTTGAGTTGCAAACAGATAAGGATGAAGCGTATGAAGTCGGAACAAATCATTCTACTCTTCTAATTGATAAAATGCTAAATTTTGTTTTTACAGACGATAGATAAACAACGGAGGTAAGATTCGAACTCCACGGAATGTTATAGTTGGAATATTGATAGTAAGGGAACGATGGATGTCGAATTCCACGGAATGCAGGAATGACATCAAGATAATTCAAGGGTATTCTTTTGGATAATTTCATGCTCAACTAAGACCGTAAGCAAGAACTATCGACTCTCATGATTAGATTTCTCGACTTTGCGTCGTGCTCTCTCTATAAAAGCCCATCTCCACCTTTCTTCTCTATCTTCGTTGGAGATATTCGATAGCTTTAGCTTAGTTTCGTGGGAGAAAGAGGCGGTGGTGGTGATGGGTGAGAAGGAAGGAGGGGAGGCGGGGCTGGTGGTGTCGTTCGGGGAGATGCTGATCGACTTCGTGCCGGACGTGGCGGGGGTGTCTCTGGCGGAGTCGCCGGGCTTCCTGAAGGCACCCGGCGGAGCTCCGGCCAACGTCGCCGTCGCCGTGGCCAGGCTCGGCGGCCGCTCCGCCTTTGTTGGAAAGGTAAACTACCACAGTCCGGTGTAGAAGAGTATAAGCCTATTGCCATCTCCAATCGTCACCTCTCGAAGCTGCTGCTGGATCCTCCGATCTTGATCGGACGGCCGAATGAACCCTCTGTTCTCTGTTTTCCTTGTGCCGTTTGCCCTTGTTTTTCTTTCATCTATTTTACGAGATCAAAGAACTTCAAAGAAGTCATTCTTCTTAATGAATGAAAGAAATATGCTTCATGAAAGAAATGAGGAAACTTTCTACTGATGCTTTTTTGTTTTTGGGCCAGTGCTGCTTAAATCAGTTAAACATAAAAGAAATGCTTAGAAGATAAAGGAGTCATTTTTCTAATGAAACCATTAATATTAGCAACATTGCATCACATGTTGAGCAGAGTCTATGGAATTGAACAACATGTGTGAGTGATTCCTTATAACACTATAAATTTGAATCTCTCTTTTCCCCTTCCTTTGTAGCTATAAGTTTGGTGTCCATATAATAGCCATTAGTTGATGTTCTCTCTTTGTTATGGTGTCTTGTGATTGCCTAACAAAAGTTTAATATTGTAGTGACAAGCAACTAGTCGATATAAGCTACATGATTGAGTCTTTTTGTTTTATAAATCAATAAAAATTCATGTTGACATGAGATCTGATAAAAGTCTTATGATATAACTTGATACAAGCTAATGGTCGAGAAGCTTTCACATAATAATCAGTTGGTGCTCAACTCGACTTTACTTCGATATTTTGAGTTTGGAAGCCTCTACTCAAATTGCCAACAAAGTTGCAGGATTTGATAGAATAATTTGCAAAAACCTTAGGTGGTATGTTTGAATGATGGTAAAGAAACTTCAAAAGGGAAAAGGTTTGGCATCCTTATTCTCTTTTTCCTACTTTACGATTTGAGAATATGAGATGATCTTTTTCTTTTCTTTTTACTGTATTCTTTCCTTTCCCTTCCCTTTTTTGCAAATAATTGTAAGAAGATAATTGTAGAATTATTTGAATTCTACAAACACCGATAATTGTATGAAGATGTAATCATTTTCCTTTCCCTTCCCCATTTTGCAAACGTGAATAAACAAGTAAATGTGATTCTTCAGTTCTACCGGAACAAATGTGGAACAATTTGTTTTCAGTTTTTCTTTATTTGAAGCAACTTCTGTCTGAGCATAGGTTTTACGACAGTCAGCACTGCAAACAAATTAGAGTCACAATGATCAGTTTTTATGCCTTAGCTCCGTGACAATGAGATTTCAAATATAGATTTTTCTCTGTTCTTTTTGTGTACATGTAATCTTGAATGACTTATGATCAATATTGATTCCTGTGTCAGTTCCGAGTATATGATGTTAGACCATTGATCAGTAACTGGACCTTCAAAAGAAGCCTCCATTTTCTTTTCTTTTTGCTGTAGTCTTTGTTGCTGATGAGACAGTTTAATTTTAACAGGCCTTTTCACTTTGTTGTTTCTTTTTTTCTCTTGGGCTTTGTATTCATTTCAATTCTTATGAGGTGAATGGGAATATTATTCCTCTTTGTTAAAGAAATATCACACTATAGCATCAAACTTCAGCATTCAATTTTCCTTGCTATGCAGAGTCAGATCCCATCTCCAGTTGTTTATTCGCATCAACTTTATGTTTGATAATTTTTATTTCTTATATTGTTTTTTTGTTGTGTTTGGAAGTTCATGAGTTATTGAAATTCAATTGAGTTCTCACCCGGCTAAAACCCGAGTCAAATTAAGGCTTCGAACTATTCCAGTTTATTCTCTTATTTTTTTACAGATATGAACTTCTAATAAACATTCCTTAATTTTTAGTAGCATGAATGCAAGATTCATATTCTTCCTTAACCCGAGTCAAACTACGGTTTTGAACTATTCTAGTTTATTCTTTTTTTTTTCGGATGTGAACTTATGGTAAACATTCCTTAATTTTTAGTAGCATGAACGCAAGGTACATATTCTTTCTTAACCTGAGTCAAACCAAGGTTTTGTACTATTCCATTTTATTCTCTTTTTTTTTCAGCTATGAATAAACTTCTGGTAAACATTCCTTCAATTTTTTGTTGTGTAAGCACAAGATTCATATTCTTCTTTGACTTTATTGTATAGTCCTCAGGACTAATCAGATATGTGCTCTATGTATTTTGATCATTTCCCTAGTTTTCGAATTTAAAAGAAAAACTAGAGAGAATGCTTCTTAGTCTTCCCTTGGAAAATTCGGATGAGGAATCATACAAAAGAAAAAGAAAAAGATAAAAAGGAATAACAAGAGAAGCTGGAACAAGGAAAGAAAAGATTCCTGATCTTTACACTATTGCTATATTTCAGTATCATCTTTTAGAAGTTCCATAAATCTGTCAAAACCACTGAATCTGATTCCCCATAGCTGATCAAGAGAGTAGCAGTAGTATTTCTTATCATATTAGAATGAAATAGATTCTTTCCTTCTCTTTTCCAATGCTCTAAATCATTGGTATTAGAAATAGATCCCTTTGTGTCACCCATCTCTAGTCAGCTAGCACTCAGATAAAATCTTTTGCAGATGACCGGCAATAATTTAGGTCTAAATATGCCGTGAAGCAAAATGCTTCACTAATCCCCTTCCAAACTGCTATAACTATCACAACTATAGTTGATGATACAAACTTGTGTGTACTCAAGAGAAGTTGAGAAACAAAAGCAACATAAATAGATTAGTCCAGCCTTCTTCAATGGTGATAATTACTGAATGTTGTAGTGAAAATAAAATGAAATGAAGAAGCAGAATCCATTTTTCGAGGGAAGAATTTACTTCTCATCGAAGCTTCCTCTGAGTTGTTTCTACTAGAGAAACATCAGTTATCTGTATTATTCATCGCAAATTTTATTCCATATAGAAATTGAAGTATTTCCAATTCTAAATGTTCAAAGTATGCATAAACATTATAGTCAACTGAGATGCTTACTGTCGCAGTTTGGTGATGATGAGTTTGGGCACATGCTTGTCGACATACTAGAGGAGAACGGGGTGGATATCGATGGTGTGCTGTTCGATCCTCATGCGCGTACCGCTCTAGCCTTCGTCACCCTCAAGAGGAATGGCGAGCGAGAGTTCATGTTTTACCGCAACCCCAGTGCAGATATGCTCCTGACTGAATCAGAGCTGAACCTTTCCCTCATCAAGCATGCCAAGATATTCCACTACGGCTCCATAAGTCTCATTTCTGAGCCCTGCCGATCTGCACATCTTGCTGCCATGCGTGCTGCCAAAGAAGCTGGTGCCCTGCTATCTTATGACCCCAATGCAAGGCTTCCTCTGTGGCCATCGGAGGAGGCTGCTCGTGCTGGCATCAGGAGCATCTGGACTGAAGCTGACTTCATCAAGGTAGTTACAGTATGTGAGAAAAATCTACAAAGGTTTGATCTATACAAGTCTAAACACACATTATATATCAGCTCAGCTATATAGTTAGATATGTAAGAGGATCAGCCCCCAACCTAAATTCCTTGCAGTAATAAGAATAAAAACAGTAGAATAGACAGAAATTTAACTCTACCTGGTTGTCCAAATTCATCTAAAACCTGGCACAGATAACTATTTTCTTATCTGCATTAACAAGTATAGTAATCAGATTTATGTAGATCAGGCAGGTGCAGGTACTTGAAGTTATTGTTGCCATCCTTATATTGATGATAAATGACAATAAGTAGAGAGTTTGTAAGCTTTTATTGTATTTGTCTCCAAACTCGATTAACAAGTACTTTGATCCTGCTTAAATAGGTTACTTATGGACACTCATAAGCATCTGAATTAATAAAAAGGGTGTTTCCAATGCACGAGGCTTCCGTCAATGCAGAGTTTGGAGAGGGTCAATATACGCAGCCTTACTTTTAAATATTTGAAGAGGCTGTTTCCATGACATATATTAACATATATTGATAGTGAATTAGTAGTTAACATATATTAATAGTGGTAAACTGAAACTATGAATATCTTTCACCTTAGAGTAGTAGAACTCAAATATCAATTCTCTGTCTGGCTATTTAGATTAACGAATGGATGGATTATGGCAGATTAGTGACGAAGAGGTGGCTTTTCTAACACAAGATGATCCGCAGAGTGAGGAAGTTGTAATGTCACTGTGGTCTGACGGGCTAAAGCTGATGGTTGTCACTGATGGAGAGAAGGGATGCAGATATTTCACAAAGGTATGCTTTCTTTCAAACCCTCTTCTTGGAACATTGCATCAGCTTTCTTTTTGGTCTTGTACTTGTTGAAATGAATGAATCAAACATGATGTTTGTCTCATACAAAAATTTTTTGTGAGCATTTAGGATTTCAAGGGACGGGTTCCAGGATATAGAGTAAACACAGTGGATACTACTGGTGCTGGGGATGCTTTTCTTGGTGCTCTTCTGAGCTCCATTGCCAATGACACCTCTCTCTTCCAGGTTTCTTCCTCTTGACCCTCTTAGCTACTCTCAGTCTAGCCTAATTTTGAACTGTACGCACTCTCTCTCTAGAATGAGGGGAAGCTGAGGGAGGCACTCAAAGTAGCGAACGCTAGCGGAGCAATCTGCACAACCCGGAAAGGAGCAATTCCAGCCCTTCCAACCATGCCAGCGGCCACAGAACTTGTTGCCAAGGGGAAATGAATGAATAAACCAGGTTTATGTTATAGAGAAAATTCTACGAGTTGGTGATATGTAGCGGTCATGGATCTCATCTCTACATGACAAACTTTCTCTTTCAAAGCACAAATAAAGCACTGGTAAGATCAGTGTTAATAGTTCTCTATATTTGGATGACTATATGCTTTTAGACCACAAGGCTTCTTTTAGTGCCTGGCACTGCACAATGCTCTTAACAACTTACACTTAAAAGACATACTGAAATGACAACTGAGAGAAATCATCTTGAAGGTTTATGAATCTGTCATGACAGATTGAGCTGAGATGGAAAGAGTTTTCTGTGTTTCAAGCATGCATTAAGCTAAAATAACTGAGTCCACTTCTAATTGATTCATGAAAATATAGTCATATCATTCCATGAAACCACAGAAAATGATTGTTAAGTTTCTTCAGTGTTCAGTGGGTGAATACAGTATCTGCAATAACTTATTGAACCTGAATCACTAATAAAAAATATTTATTCTATAATACGTCAGTTCAAATCTTTATCTATTTTTTATATACGAATAAACTTGTTTTATTTTATGGATAAAAATCTTTTTTATTTGAGTCCTTCATCATGTTTAATTATTAGATTAGTTCTAATATCATTTATCATGATTTGACCCCATGAAATAATAGACTATTAGTTTATTGAGTCTGAATCATTCTTAAATTAATAATAATGCATATACCAAGTCCTGAATCAATCTGTATCTTTAGCCACTTCAAGATGTGAGAATGAATTTAGGAGCGTAATGCATGAAAGATTGCTTAGCATTTATTTCGCTTGCTTGCAAAGGATGGTTCATGTTTCAGTACATGGTGAAAGTATGCTACTATTTGCAGGAAGCATTACCTGACGTTGCTTGCTTACATCAATTTAGATGATAGGTTGCAACAGAGATGCTAAGCCTGAGATACAAGTGATCTGATGTGACTTCAAATACAATGTATGAGTCGGTCTCATGATAGAACACATCACTCCTGAAACGAGAAAAAGAGACAACCAGAGAGCTAAAAACATGACACTTCCACAAGGTCTTTAAAACCGAAACAAGCAACTTGAATTATCCCTTAAATCATGTTCTTGCCCTTGTATGACATTACATTACTCCAATAGAGTAGAAGTTGTAGATGAGTTGTGTTTCTAGTAGGTTTTAGAAAAAAATTCTCAAGTAGCATTTCCACATCAACTATGATAAAGCAACACAGCTTCGATCGGAATGGTGCAGCATGACAGTCATCTGATGAAAATAACAGAGCTCAATCGAGAAAGATTATCATGGATGAGCTGCGATTGTCATTCTTCAGCAGCACTAGCAGCACTTAGATCCACGCTGAGATCAAGAGTCTGCAATGAAAAAAAGGCTGTAAGAACTAGTTCGACACAATCGCAAAATATATCCATGACGACTTAAGATTACACTTCAAAATTATGAAATATGAAAGCAACACTGAGCACTCCACAGGAGCTACATAACATCAAGAAAATTTCTAGATATCGAGCTGAAGGGTGAGAACAAGAAGGCCAGAGCATTTGATTTAAAATCCGAGTAGATATCTGGCCAAGAAAAATCCAGAGATATAAATAATAGTTGCAAAGCAGCTTGGAAACTGTGGGTGCTGTCTTTGTTCAGTCATGCCAATGCCTTCTTTTAATGTCACTGGATTTCAAACAACAAACATGGTTAATTGGGCAATAGAGCGAAAGGTTGGGGTTTCCTGCACAGCTTATGCCAGCTGCAGGTTTGGACGATACTGTAATCACTTGTCAAACCATGGTCAAGTACCGTGTAGTGTGCATGATATGTGTTGGCATGGTGTCACGTTGCATGATATGCACAATGAGCATCATCACACAGACAGCAGCATTTTTTAAGGTGATGGTGTAAGTGATCATGCTAGGCATGATTTATGAAGCCATCATTGAATAGGAAACATGGTTACTCCCATTGGATTAGGGCTTCAAGCATGACCTGTTTGGCCAGTTTGTGATACTGAGGCTTACACTATACATCATCAGGCTAACATCAACATGCCTTCAAGGAGACTAATACTAGCAACTGTCAACTGGGTACCAAGGCATTAATATCACATAAAGACAAAGACCATGCTCAGAAACTGAAATAAATAGAACAATACAAAACCTTTACCTTTCCAGTGATCATGGTATACATGGACAGCACGTCCATGACGGTTGACTCAAAATGGGTTGTAGCATCATAACTCTGCAAATATTGGACTATGTTAAAAGGTGGCCAATTTGAGTTGAGAAACACTATGAGGTAACTAAGAATGCATCTTCGACGCTTACAGTTGAGATGAAGCAATTATCCAGCGAGGGTTCGTTGACAGGCTCATATATGTCATAAGTCTCAAAAAATAGCTCATCCACAGGCCCAAGAAGATCAATCCCAGGCTTTAGTTCCACTTCTGGCCTATCAGTCTCAGCTTCTGTTGAGACAAAGGCGATAAACTTCCCTTTGGGGGCAACGTTATGCGAGTAAGAACAACAAAATAGATACCTGTTGAACCACAAGATATGGAATGAAGAAACACAATACACCTTGAACAAAAAGAAAAAAAAAAAAGACCAAAAAGAATTCTATGCATATGATGTAAAAAATGATATGCTTCTAGATAACATACATGTCAGACTTGCGTCCAAGTTGCTTCTGTGGCAATATAACCTGTGCTGAATGAGACTCATCGGTATTTGGGATCGGATGGCTCATAATGGCAATCGCCCTTGCAACCTTTCCCACCTTCCTAACCTATCCATTGAAAGTTTAGTAAAGATGTTATTGAACTTTGGAAATCTTATCAGCAGCAAATATTCATTCAAGCAGCAGTTCCTTGCACACAGTACAGTCCTGTTAAATTTACCATCAAATATAGAACAATTCCATTTCAATGTGAAAATAATGGAATCTTACCTTGTTTGGTAGGTACGAAGGATCACAAACAACTTTCTTGCATCGAGCTGTTTCTCCTTCAGATGTCACACCACAAGCTTTTCCTTCCATATCAAATTCGACCTGGACAAGGTTGAGGAATGTTAGCTATGATAAAGCATGAAACTATGGTAATACTACATCAATAAATATGACAGTCTGGTTGTTTTCTGCTTCCATAATCTTTAACACGATGATAAGCATGCAATGATGCAAATGGCTACCTTGCATTCTAGTTTATTCAACATGTATGTCCCACCATAAACAGCACTAAGGCGCGCAAAAGCCTGTAATTCCAGCAAAAACTCGAGAATCAGAAAAATATTTTCTCAATGTCTAAGAAAGTGAATGACTAACCTGTGGTAACTCCCCTAATCCATACAAAGGGTATATGTATGGTGAGCCTCCTTGGAAACGAGCTAAAGATTCTTCATATAACTGTTACATATAGAAACCAACATTAGTTTTAGCAGCATGCCACAACGAAAAAATAAAAAACCAAGTGAGTTTATGAATGATAATTAGCAGTTCTTGCTTATATACAAGAACAATGATAAAGAAGCACACATGCATTGATATGGAATTGTCTTGACCTGACCTGACCTGAGATGACTAACTCATCAATTTGATAAACTTCGAACTATGTGGTCCAAACTACTTAATCCCAAGTTAACCAACACATCTAACCCTATAGACTTGCTTAATTCTCCTCTTTAATTCAATGTGGGACTAAACTATCAGATCACAATCTCCCCAATCTAAGACTTGATGTCCTCATCAAGATCTTAATATAACCCCGAATCAAACTAATGCATTCGAGGCTCGACCCAATGGTGGCTCCATATGTACCTCCAGCCTCATCCACATGTATCCTCTTTTACTTGTGTCCCTTACCATGTCCAATACTAGATCCATTCGGACACTATTTGTTGAGTCTGCCCTATGAACCAACTCAGTCCTTCCAAATCTGATACAGAACAAGACTACAGTGTACCTAGCAACAACATGACAGATACATGCACATAGTAGATGGGAAGGCCACCAAAGATGAAACTGACAAGAAAACGTTGATTGTGTTAAAGAAGCACAAATTATCAGCTGCAAAACCCTCGAAGGGTGGTCTCTGTAAGTCAGAATAAACAAGTATAAAAAACCTTCTGGTTATTGGTTTGTGTTGAATCTGAATGATGAAGAGATTCAAGATATATAGCATAGAGTTTTTGTGGAAGATTGAATACGGATAATTTGTAATCCATTTATTAATTCATAAAATAGTAATTTTTTACTGTTCAGAAATAAAAATTGAACACACTGTTTACCAGAAGTTGCCCAAGTAGAGGACAGTATTTGACTTCTAAAGAATTTTTAAAAAAGTCATCACAAGCAGCATTTACCTTAATCCTTTTCACAGTATCAAGTGCAGGCTCATTTAGATACCGATCATCTCGATGAAGAGCCAAGGCATGGCCAATAAAATCAACAGTGTTATCATCCAAACCAAATTTTCTGACCAACAAAAAAAAAATTTCATAGTTAATTGCTAGTGGAAGGACTAGAAAGATTGTTGTGATAGAAACAGATAATTGAGCAGATGTTTTATAATAAAACAGACCTAATAATCAAATAATGGAACTCTGGAACAAGGCACTGAAGCAATAATTTTTAACAATGAATAAAAAACCATGATCCAGAAAAAAAAATATAGATTTATTGCAAGACAGAGAATGTTATAGCCAAATGTCCATTTATTGATAATAACCATAATGTAAAAAATGGAAAGGGTTCTATTTAATTTAGAATTGGACTCTTGATTGATTGAATTCTAATTTAGTTATTTTAGGATTTTTGATCCAGTGTAGGAGTCAGCTATACCCTCTATAAATTCCCTAGCAAACCACTCTCTTCTAAATCTTTCTCGTATGTTGAAGAGAGTGTGGCCACATGAAAGGGTATTAGCATTGCCATAAGGAGTTCTCGACCTAGAAATCTTATTTCTTTTCCATTGATTCCCCACATCTTGCATGATTTTTATTTGATTTGTTGATCAAACAATGTTACTGGATTAAGAGAGTATTCTCATTGTTAGATTACCCCTTCTTTTCAACATCTCCTGCACTCGATGTAGGACGTGTTTGCGATGAAAAGAATTTCCTACCAATGGAATAAAAAATG